TCGTTCGTAAATAACTCTCCCCGAACCTGTTCAATCATTATCCGTTCTATTTTGCCGTTTAAACGGCAATTTTTTATTTTTTATTTTGCAAATTCAACAAGGACAATACAAGATAAGGTGGTGAGGTACTCTAGCTATAGCTAATTTTAGCCTCACCACCAAACATAGAATACAATTACAGTACATAACAAAAAACAGAGAACAGCAAGTGGGTGGGATGGGTCGTTAAGTAGTACAAAGAAATGTTTAGTAGGCTATATAATAAATCAATCGAGTACAAACCGTTTGGTGTCAACAATAACGGCAAATTTACCGCCTCAAACACTGTAAACAAAAGAACAAAGAAAGAACGCAGACGACGCCGCCATATTTGAATAAATTAGCACGCAAAGGCTCATGGGATGGCGTCACAGGGATGTTGCGTAATGTCATGTTGACCCTTGACCCCTCGGCACTCGGCACGAGTGAAGTTACTTCCGGGTACCGCGGTACGCGGGAGTGTGACGCGTCCATGTCTGGGATACCAGAAAACCGAGATATCTCGGCGTCCGCATACAGGAAACACATGGGAAAACCGAGATATCTCGGCGGCCGCAGGACTAGGCTTGTTAAGACCCACTTAACACACAACTATCCTCACCTCACTCAGGTGTAGATGAGTATATAGCTTCGGGCATATTTGGCTCGACTCGGATAACTTTATCCTTGTGGGAATGGGGCCCGTATACGGTCAAAAAATCATCCTAGTGGGAAAAGGTCCTCGGTTAGCTATCTATTCGGCTCGATCCGGATTATTCTATGGTAGTGGGCATGCAGCCAAGAGAACACCAGAAAAACCTGTAAAACAGCCACGGGTGTATGAATAATTAAGGCCCCACACCGACCTCGACCTCGTGTCATTCTGACGCTACCTGTCCGGGAGTTACAGCTCTTCTGGTGAGTACTGTATGTATTTACATTTTACACTAACATTATGTAGACAATAATATTAAATAATTTGTTACACAGTAGAAATTGGACAGTTGGATCTCGTCAACCTTCGTCAGATGCGTGATGCACTCGCTGATTCTCAGGAAGTCTGAAGCGTGATGGCGTCAGGAAACCGATCGGTCACTTAAAACTAGATTTTTGGAGCACAGTTCCACTATACTTCTGAAGTCTCACAACGTACGCATACATATAAAGTTCCCGGGCCACACAGTTACTCTGCATAAGGTACGCATACTGGCACATGCATGCCCGTAGCGAGGATTTTGAATGGGGGGTTCTTCCCATGCACTGGTTGAGGGGACCTCGAGCGCCGTAGGCGCGAGGTTCCTAGGGGGTGGGGGGCATGCTCCCCCGGAAAATTTTGAAAAATGAACCTTCTAAAATGGCATTTCCTGCATTTTTGAGAGGATTTCCAAGAAAAAATCAGAGATAAATTTTTATTCAATGACAAAGGGAGCAGTTTTTCTACGATTCCAGTCCATCTTGTCAAGAAAAATCTTGGACCTTTACATAAAAAGTGGACCAAAAAGTGGACCTTTACATAAAATGTGGACCAAAAAGTGGACCTTTGAACCTTGTGGGGGGGGGAGGGGTTCTTCTGAAACCCCCGAACCCCCCTGGCTACGGGCATGACATGGGACATATGCAGAAGACCCGGATGACTACTTTGTGAGAGGCGTGAAGGCCCAGTTTACATCAAGGCCCATCAACCCTCTCTGAACCGTGACGGTGGTAGATCCGTATTTTATATAGCTTCTACACTTTTAATGCTCTCCTAATGCCGGAGAGTCAGCGACTTCATTATACATCTGACGAAGGCCAGTTGACAAGATCGACTGAAAATCTATGGTGAGTTCCTTTCTTGAACCTTTATAAATACAATTATACCAGCACAGATGAGCTTTCATTTGAACATTGCCTAGACCAAGGACATTGTAGACATTGTATAATGTCCTTGCCTAGACGTTAGAAATTCCTCCAATCAAGGACATTCGGTGTATAATGTCCTTGCTCCAATGATTGAAAAGCTAATCCTATATAATGGCCACACACTCGTGTTTAAGGTAGGCTTTTTAAACAAGTGGAAACCTTTTTCAGCGTAGAAAACGGAAATGTTTGGGTATAATAGTCACGTTCATGTCCGCCATTTTGTTTGTTGTCTAGTCAGAAATAGACATGAGGAAAAAAAAAATATGGGACTAGGGTGGCAACCAGATAGTTTTGCCCGTTGGCTATACATGTACCAAGGTCGCAAGGATTGTGTAGACAATGCATATGAAAATAACTAGAGGTTCCTACTGAAGACACAGGGCAATTTGGTACAACTTGTCGAAAAGTTTCAACAAAAATTAAGCTTGGGAAAAAAGATGTAACAGACAGACAATAGAATACATACTTTGTTCTGTTCTGATCTATTCAAGTGGGACTAGGACACGTTGGCTTTGTCATTGTGTCTGTTATTAAGGGATCAACGTTTAAAAATGACACAGCCTCAGGCTGAAGGTGAGTCAAGGACGGTCACATTGTGGTTGTGATTCTTCATTGTCTGCAGTCACTAGACTGAGCTAACCTGATCATACGGTTACGGCTTTTCATGGCAACACATATGTCAAAGTTTAAGGCCACATGCACAATGCAGACATTTTTTTCAGTCTTTTACTTGAATTTGCTGTGTTTGCAAAGCATGAAAGGTACTACACATGTATAAAGTACATTTCTTGCTTTGCAAACACAGATGTATCAGTGAGTGTTTGTATTGACATTATATTGAGCTACATGTACACAGTGAAAAGTATCTTATAGAATAGTGAAAAGACAAAGATTTGTAGATTAAAAGACAAGACAGCAGATATATATGATCAGATTTTTTAAACATCTGTAATTATTTGACACATCAGAGCAATAGTAGCAACCTATAACATTGCGTAACAACTCTGGGCTGATAACATAAAGGCTCTAAACAAAAACATAACAAAACCATAATTACACATTTTTAAACTTATGTAAAAAAATTAAAAATGCAAGACTTTCTGCAAAAGTTCTGCTACCAATATTTACTAACGTTATTGTACTTGGTCAATTTACGTATGTACATGGCCCCAAGATTGCCAAGGAATGGCTTCTTCTCTCTTTTTGAAACATTTTGAAATATACTTACATACTTCATTGATGACATCTATATTTGTACATAATATAATATACTTAAAAGTGTCTTCCTTTGATAATGTTTTGCATTTTTTTAAATCAACGCGCGCGTGGATGTCATCCATAAAATTAAGCGGTATGGCCTTTTGTCAACTACAATTAGATAAGATGTGGAATCAATATCTCCTATTGTGCATCCGGTACAGACCTGCCATACACAAACATGGTGTAGTCTAGGCTACACTTGGCCAACAATTTGCAGAGGTAACTCTCAGCATCAGGTAATACATCCAAGTGTTCCTTAAGTACCTCTCCTGTCAGTGTAGTCCTTTTGTTACAAATCTGTGCCTTGGAAACGACACCTTCTTGTCTAAGCCGAGTACTGTCAAGACGTGCTCGGTGTCTTCCTTCAAGTTCTCATACATGCCAATAAAATCATAGTTCACGGCACAAGGTTGGCAGAGCTTTTTATAAGAATGGGGTGGGGTCATGTGGCGTAGCGGTAGCGTGTTCGGCCCAGGCCCAAGAGGTCCCGGATTCGAATCCTGCCCGGTATTACCTAAAACAACCTCAGATACTTTTACACTTCTCATGTCATGTTCCGACGAAACTTCCCTGTACATAGGCCAGTATATATCCAAAGCTTTAGTTAAAAGAAATCATATTATATCCGACACAACCAACTGATGTACACTCCAGTTTATACAGTCATATAATATTTATATAAAACTTGTACATTATCATGTCAGCCATGTTCCATATATATACATGTACTATATTAACTTTTGAAAAAATAGAATGTTATTTTCGATACATAGAGCTTGTAGGTAATACTGTAGACGTAGATGCTAGCTAGATATGTAGTACTAAAGAGTTTGCCATGCATTGTACCCGTTACAATTGTTGTGCAATAAAGATTGACTTGACTTGACTTGTCACCGATCTTGTGCCACTTGAATGCCCAAATTCGGACCTACCCTTTTTTTCCACACTACAAGCTATCTACAAAGTAATATAAAAACATCCACAACATCAAACGTTATACCGCGTCTTGTCACATTCCGTCATAAAATGACCACAGCAGCAGCGAAATAAGCGGCTATTTTGCTGAAAACCACGCCGGATACTTACTGCCAAAACATCTTTGTCCCACTCAAAAATCAAGACCATATAGCATGTCCACAGCACGAGATATCATACCATGTACCCCGCTATAGTATCTTACAAAACCACATGCACCACACCTCAAGTTATTACCGATTACAAAATCAGCAACCCCTATGTATGGTGTCTCGTACCTAAACACATAACCTTGACGAAGGTAATTATTAGGTCAGCAGGTGCCAAAAAGTAGTTACGCTCAAGCAACTGGATATGATTTTGAAAACGTCAAAATCATATCCAGTTGCTTGAGTAACTACTTTTTGGAGTATCGTATTACCTGGATGTCTAACCTTCATCGACGTATTAGGTCAGCAGCGCTTGTTTGGTCTCCAAAGAAAATATCCGTGGTTTTTCTTACAATGTGTGAATATTCGTTTATGCACATTTCTTATTTTTTTATTTTTTTTGCATCGAGTTAATCTTTTATATACTAGTAAATGAGATTCGTTTCCAATAGCCTGACTAAATCTGCGCTCCTAGCGGCCGGCCCATTATTACACCAGCCGCCCCCCAGAAGCTTGATGTCAAGTCCCTGTGGGGGCGGCTGGTGTAATACCGGGCCGGCCGCTAGGAGCGCAGATTTAGTCAGGCTACGTTTCCAAGTGAAGCCTAACTCTTCTAGGTCTCTCATCATATAACTGTTTTTCCAACGTGATTAGTTAACCCCCACCCCCTACTTCTTTTCGTTTTTGTATACAGAGGCAGAACGTATCGGGATGGCGACTAACGGCAACACGTCACTGTCGTCGTCGAACAAACTGGTCTTCCTCGTGGTGGGAGTATTCCTGGGATACAGCCTGTCCGTGCTGCAAAGCTTCGGTCCAACCGTCAATATCTGGCGTCCTCCCGCCGACTACCATGCGCCTCCTTGCCCTTGTTTAGAGGATTCTCTTCGGTAAGTAGAGCCGTGCAGTACTGCAAGAATGTAGACTGTACTAATCACTTTTGGTGTATGTCGTCATTTTGTTGTTAATTTAATACAAACATCGGGAGGTGAGTGTTATTACTAGCCTCTACCAGGCACCGCGGATCGCTGGAAAAATAGTAGAAATTGGCCGAAATAAAGGGATAGTATACCAGAGAAGATCCAATTTACGACTCCTTTATTTCGGCCAATTTCTACTATTTTTCCAGCGATCCGCGGTGCCTGGTAGAGGCTAGTAATAACACTCACCTCCCGATGTTTGTATTAAATTAACAACAAAATGCTATGTTATTACCTCCATGACATGTCATGGAGGTTATATTTTCAGTTGCGTTTGTGTGTCTGTCATTCTGTTCGTCATCAAAATAACTCAAGAACAGCTGAATGGATTTGCTTCATACTTGGTGTGTTGGTAGGGTGTGCCAAAAACTGGAAATGATGAGATTTTGGGCCCCTTAGTGGATTCCCTTGGTACTGCAGCGCAACTTCCGGTTTTGATATCTCGTGATCTGGACAAGCTAGTGTCATGAATTTTTGATGGTAGGTAGCTCTTGTCCTTGGGCCACACGACCCCACTAAATAATCAATGAATGCATAATCTGAACTTTTCAGAACTCGACATGTATTGTGTAGAATACATATATCAATGTCACTGCCCGCATGTAGACTCTACATGTTACTACCTTCGCCAAGAAGGTTATGTTTTCAGTAGCGTTTGTGTGTGTGTGTGTGTGTTTGTGTGTGTGTGTGTGGTTTAGCAAGATAACTCGAGAAGCAGTGGATGGATTGGAATGAAACTTGGTAGGTGGGTAGGTCTTCATGAGACCTAGAAATGATTAGATTTTGGGCCCCCTGGCGGCTTTCCTAGGTACTGCAGCTGAACTTCTGGTTTTGATATCTCATGTTCTGGACATGCTAGGGTCACGAATTTTAGTTGGTAGATAGCTCTTGGGGTAGGGAAGAAGTGACATGAGTCCATTGGGTCCCCTAGGGCCTTGTTCTAGAACTGCAGGAGCATTTGTTGAAAAAAAGTTGAAGGACGATAACTCAAGAACCGGTTGACGTATTGTCGTAATTTTTGGTATGTAGGTAGTTGAAGTGATGCTTGACATAATCAGATGGCAATTATGCAAATCAGGAGCTAATTTGCATAATTAATGAGGAAATTCTATAAATCTGCTTTGTTCAATAATAGAACTATGAAACACTTGTGACATCTACTTGAGAACGAAAAAAACATCTGAGGATATAGATTATGTAAATGAGGACCTAATTTGCATAATTAATGGCAAATTCTTATAATTCCATAGTTGTAACTGCTGCACCCCGAATTTCATACTTGCCACATTTGGAAGTTAAGTGAAGGTGAACATCAATAAACATAATTTATTCAAATCATTACCTCATTTGCATAATTTATGAGGAAGTGCTATAATAGCCTTTTTGTTATGATAAGGCTGTCATTGGGTGGAGAATATGATCAACTGATATAATCCATGCAAATGAGGCTCTTATTTACAAAATCAATGATTAAAATTGTATAATTCATCACCCGCAAGGGTTAACATCATTTGGCGAAGGTATGAGATCGTGGAACTCTTGTTCCCTATGTGTATTTCACGTCACTTCAGCTTTGATGTTTTCAGCATAAATATGGAAATGATGGGGCGCGGGACATGGTAAACATGCTAAGGCAACCAATTGTTACTTTCCAAGCAGAGGTCTGGGTTTTGGGTTATTTTTGGTGTACATGTGTTTTTAGTTGTTTTTTTTTTTTCTAACCGGGTTTCTTTTTTGCACAGTTTTTTCCCACAAAACCAACGTTGGGTTGGGTGAAAAAAGAATCCAGTGCAAAAAAGAAACCCCGATTTAAACAAAAACACATGTACACATAAAAAACCCAAACCTCTGCTTGGAGAGTAGGCAATGGTTGAAAAGATATCAAATAACACATAACAAGACAAATTTTCTTACCCCCCCCCAAAAAAAAATATATATATATTTTTGCAACCTAACGTTTGTTAGGTAAGTTGTATTCAGCGATACGGCATTGCTTAAAGGCACATATCTAATCATTATCTATTGGAAAATAACATTCATTTCCCGACTTCAGAGGTCATTTAAATACCAAACCTGGACTCTGTGACGCTGTAACATTCGTTATGTAATGTAACGGTTACAAGACCATTCATGCAATCAATACTTTTAATCAAGTTGGTGAATTATTAAATAGCAATGTCAAAACTACCAGAGCGGCGTTTCGAGGACTGTCTGTCATCTTCATGTTGTAACAATACCTAAACATGTGTATGTCACAACTGCTGTACGTCTGGGACTGTATTGTTAGCAGTAAGGCCACACCGCCTTAATTTTATGGATGACATCCTCTGAAGACCCCTAAACTAGTGCGCGCGGGCGAATAAAAAAAATTCCGGCCAAAAATAAAAATGCTACTAAACCACAGGAATACAAAGTTGGTGTTGTGAATTTGCGGCAGTATAGAGCAACGTATACGACAAGCCGGCTTTTTGCAGAATTTATGAATCGGCACTGTACGCATGTACTGAGCTCTTGAGTCATGGAGCTTCAGTAGCCTGGGTGCCATCCTCCGGAGTTACCGCCAGCTCTGTATTGTCGCTAACTACTATGGACCACCCAGGCCTAGAGCCAGGCCAGATCGATCCTCGGATCTTTTTTTTTTTAAAACAGGCAAAAATCAATGCGCGCGCGGATGTCATCCATAAAATTAATTCGGTGTGGCCTAACAGCTAGCTTCAGTGAGTGAGTGAGTGAGTGAGTGAGTGAGTGAGTGAGTGAGTGAGTGAGTGAGTGAGTGAGTGAGTGAGTGAGTGAGTGAGTGCATACACAGTACACCAGTCATATAATTGTCCTGATGAAGATGACAGACGGGCATCGAAACGTCGGCTCTAAGCTTGCTTGTTAAACAAGCTTAAGTGGCTGTGAATAAAGAACTGCTCAAAGGCGACGACACAAGTCATTTTCCGACTATGAGTAAAGAATTTGGATTTAAACGGAAATAATTTTATTCTGTGGGCCACATGATGTTCCTTCTAGGCCTTCAGAGCTGCCACAGACGAGAGATGGTCTACAGATGTCACAAGAGACAGCTGGTCCGCGAAAAATACTTCTGGACTGCGGAGCTAATGTTGCTTCTACTGTACAGGTACGGAAAAATCATTCACATTCACCAGTTTCCCATTCCCATGATGCATTGTGCCTGGTGGTAAAATTCCCAAGTTTCATAGCGATTTGTAATCTGAATTATATGTAATTCTGTGGTGGTTTTACATTCGTTGATGACAGAAATGAAGGTAACATTCATATATACAACATGTTTTTAATTATTAATATTTCTAGCATTATAGTCAAATCAATATAGTTGTATCTCCTTCCTATACTCAGACGGTATAGCGTTACCACTGTCACGTTACAAACCGCGTTAAAAAGAAGACAAAAATTTCATTCTCTATTTGTTGTCAGATTCGCTCCGTAGTAAGTCAATCAATGTTAAGCATAAAATGCGCCAACACCTCAAAACACACAGAAAAACACGCTGTTTAACGTTGCGCTATGCAACCTGGGAAATTTTAACCCCAGTCGCAATGCGTCATGGGAGTGGGTAACTAGTGAAAGGTGAAGACTGATTCAGAAACTCCAAAATTATCTTCGTTGTGGTGAGGTATATGTTTTGAAGATAAACAAATACTTATTCACTCATAAACATTGTAAGTGAGGAAAAGTATTCTAAATACCAAGGAGGTTTAAAATCAACCTTAATATTTAACCTTAATATTCTTGCAAATACATATAATAAAGTCCTGTTTCAAAGCACGTGCAATATGTTACACAGTGTTTCACCTGGATTCGTGCCTAAGTGATTATTAGCTGTGCTATGAACGGTACAGGGTCGAAGCAAATGATTGGACCAAATTATACATTTCTATACGGAAAAGGGGAAAGATTATATTAATTAAGAATAATTCTAGAAACAAAAATAAAACAGGACTGTTATGGAAATGATGCTTTATGCTCCCCTATACCCTTTTCGGCATTGAATTTAGTAACACTGTGCACGATGTCTCACACGATAGCCTGGTCACATTTTTAGGACGTTGTCGTATGGTTTTGATGTCGTCCGTAACCACATCTCAATCCTTCATATTTAATAAAATATTAATTACTCCGTGAAGGAGGTCAGGACCTCCGGACGGAGTGTTGTGATCGGCTGATTTTTCATGTTCGCAGTCAAAACACTGGGTTCTCTTTGTGTAATCGGCACGCAATTTTATACGCCGTCTGCGGGCATGCCCGTGTTGATGCACGAATGTGTATTTTTGCCGTTGCTGCTTTCGCGGTCAATGTAATATCGCAGACGCACCCCTACAATTACGAGGCGAATTGGAATGGTCCAGAAGAACGCGTTGTTTGGAATAGCAGTGGGGGGAAGGGTAGGT